CCCTGCCAATACTCATTTTTATAAAAAGGCATCCTTAAATAGCATTGTTTTGATTTGGGTTTTAAAAGAAGAAAGAGAATCACACTGTCTTATTTCTGGAGATAATGAATTGATAATGAACGAGAATTTATTTAAGAAGATGATAAGAATATGTTTTTAGAATCTCTTTCTGATGACTTTTTGCCGGACACACCATACAAACGACAGTCACAAGACAAAGTAACAGGTAAAAGAATGAATGAATTTTCAACAATTTTCAGTTCGCCGTGAAAGATATCGTATCACTTCACTGATATGGCTTTTATTCACGGCTTTATCACACTGATATCAACCCTAAAAGTGGTTCAATACATGTCAATACATATTAAATTCTGCAAAATGCTTTTAGGAGTGAGTAAAACGGCTTCCAACAATACATGCCGTGCAGGATAATTTCCTATGAGAGTAAATGCAACATTAACGTCTGAGGATTGACGGTAGTAATAGATAGATTAGATTTCAGTCACATTTGGGAACAAAACTATTTACAGGGTATGACAGAATATGAGTGGAAAAAGACAACAATGCAAATAAAGCAAAGACTTGAAGCCCAAGAGTTTCAATTCTGGCATGGTCAGTTACCTAGCGACGAAGGAAGGAAGGATTCTCAAAAGAATAAACTAAAAACCTATAGATGCTTTAAAAGKGATTTCCAGCAAGAAGAATATCTGAGAGAAGTCAGCAATACGAAACTTAGAAGAAGTTTGACAAAACTAAGAATCAGCAACCACCCCCTAGAAATTGAAATAGTGTCTTGTATTCCAAGGGTGAACACACGTATAGCTTTATTTTTCATGAATTCTTTATTTATGGCTATTTTCTTAGAAATAATCGGTCATGAAGTGGAAGTGGAGGATAATCGTAAGTTAAAGCTTTTTTTCACTCAATTTATCGTCGGACCCTTAATTGTCCGCCTTGTGGACTCAAAGAGTTCCTATGTAAAGATCCCAAAAATTCATAAATGTACAAGTGTGGCAAATCTATTGTTACTTATTTTTAACTTTATGTATTCAGTGAGCGAAAGAGGAGTGTATTGTTATTGAACTCCGGTTCAATTCAAATTTCACGACTTTTTTTTTCTAAGAACTTGCGTCCTCGTGGCGAAATCTATGTCCAATAAGACGGGTTTTACACTAGTAATTTCTGCCTTTTGTTCAAATAAAACCAGCAACTCGCAATGGGTAACAGTCTCTTTCTCTTGTAATAACAGTAACTTTTCGTAAATTTCTATGTGGCAAAATTTGGCAACCACTCTTTTTCCATTACTCCATTACTCCGTTACTCGGTTTAGTAACACCCCAACGAAAGGGAAAATTTAGCTCTCGATTAACTTAAGAAGTTGATGAATATCAACCTTGAGAAAATGAACGAGAATGATAAATTCTTTATGATGATAAATCCAAAAAACCTATTCAAAAGATCACTGCAAAATTTGTTCATGAATGCTTGGAAAAAAGGGGGGGGAAAACCCATTAAGGTTGCTAATTATATATTATACATTATAATTAATTGTGTCTTATTTATATTTGTTACATCCATTTTGAAATCACAAGCAAATCCTGCAATCTGATTGGTTCCCTGCAGCAGTGATTTCAGCATAAATTGCACGATTTTGAGCTCTAAATTGCACGATTTTGCACGTCAACTGATATGAACCAATCACAAGAGAGGCATGTCATTTTCTAGCCAATTATATCAAGGAATACAAGCAGTGAGCATTGGCTGTATGGACAACAGCCAGTTCATTACAACCCTTTTGGGCAGGATTGTCTTGCTATTTAAAATAAGTAAATGTTTCTTAATTTGTAAACCGTTTGGTCCGATAAAAATTCATTTTAGTTTTGGATTGAAAGTGTTGGTTTTCAAAATGAGAATCATTGCTCGATCAGTATAAACAAGTT